GTTACAAAATATTACTCTAGAAATGAACGATTGGTTTCCAGAAGAATGGTTTGAAAACCAAGATGACGATTGTGAGGAATGTGAACTGCATAGCAATAAGGAAAATAATATGACCGGATGACGTATCAGGCGGTTACTAATAAACGAGCACTTCGCCCTACTTTATTGCCCAGAAAGAATCGCCAACAACTGTCAGTAACTTAATTTAACAAATTTATCAAAAATTTCATACATTATGCTAACAATTGTTGCTCTTTTAATAAAATTTCTAAATCCAGCAAACTCATTTTTTTAGCGTGCTCTTCGTCTCTCTACTCTTTCACCTTCCGTATATGAATTTCTTCTTAAAACATTTTTTCCAGCAGTTTCTTCATCTTCCTTTGGTAATATTTTTCTTATCTCAGTTCCAAATTACAGAAAAGGTCGACCGGACGCGAAAAAACCGAATTAACGCAAGTAATAATTCAACGGTAAATTTTTAGGTATGTTAAAAAAACACCGAAGTTTCTAGTAAAATTGGTTAATAGCGGTTAGTTAATAGCAAATGAATTTGATTATTATTAAACAGTTAGCAAACAGTGTCTTGCATTCATTTTTTATACTGAAAAGTTTTTGAAGTTATTTTTATAATGAATCTCAAACAATGAGGTTTCCCGATCCCATTTATACATAAGGCTTGTCCCCGAAAAAATTGACGCACAAATTTCCTTCTACCGCAGTTTCCCCGTTCAGTTAAAAAAGTTTTGAAATATGCCATTTTACTTAGGAGGCTGTGTATTAAATAAAAACAATTAGTTGTAACTGTCATGTCACATTTAACAAAGATGTCGTTTTCTCAAGAACAGTTACGTGAAGAAATATTGTACAAATGGGTTCAATGCAGAGGTATATCAACAAAAAAAATAGCTTTAGAGTTAAGAACATCCAGAAGAACTGTCCAAAGAACATTAAAAAGATATAATGAAACGGGGAACGCACGAAGGAAGAGCGGAAGTGGACGGAAACAGGGATTTGTGAACAAGAAAATTGAAAAAAATGTGTTAGCAGCCTTAAAAAGGAATCCGAACCTTTCTGTAAGAGATTTGGCTAAAAAATTTGGAACTACTAAATCAACAGTGCATAGAATTAAGGCCAGTCCCCACGTTTTCTCAGCGGAATTTTCGCTCTATTTTCAAAATGTAATATCTCCGTTATTAACAGATCTATAGTTTTCAAATTTTAAATATATGTTGTCCATAACTTTCTTTATATAACGCAAGGGCAATTTTGTTAAAAACAGCTTGTGATCATATTATTTTTTTAATTTTAGTGAAATTTTTGCATAACGTATTTTTAAAAATCAATATCTCAATTATTAAATAAAATTTCAGAACACGGTTTTCAACACTGTTTTCAGCTTACAAAACTCCAGAAATCATACGAGACATATCGTCGATTTTATTTTTTAGAAACGATACACAGTTAAAAAAAGCGTATATCATGGAAGTTGCTAACTTTTATTTTTACTATATCTCAGTCCCAACAAATAAAGTCAAAAATCGACCTCGTAGAATTTCTCAAGTTTTGCAAGCTGAAAACAGTGGTGACAACCCCGTTCCAAAATTTCCATAAATAACTGAAATATTGATTTTTAAAAATACGTTATGCAAAAATTTCACTAAAAAAATTATATGATCACAAGCTGTTTTTAACAAAATTGCCCTTGCGTTATATAAAGAAAGTTATGGACAACATATATTTAAAATTTGAAAACTATAGATCTGTTAATAACGGAGATATTACATTTTGAAAATAGAGCGAAAATTCCGCTGAGAAAACGTGGGGACTGGCCTTAAGAGCAAACATTCTATAAAGTCCTTTAAAAAAACAAAAGTCCCTAACAGAAATTGCAAGCAAGAAACCGTCGCCAAGTCAAGAGCGAGAAAACTTTATTCACGGATGACGTCAAAAAATTATTGTTTCATTTTAGACGATGAAACATATTGTAAGATGGATTTTAAATCGCTACCCGGTCATCACTACTATTCAGGTAAAGACAGGAAATCTATCAGCGATGAGTTTAAAGTAATAAAAACTCAAACATTCGCTAAAAAAGTACTCGTGTGGCAAGCCATTTCTTCGTGTGGCAAACGCAGGGTGCCTTATTTTTCAACAGGATCAATAAATGGGGAAATTTACCTAAAGGAGTGCCTTCAAAAACGATTGTTGCCTTTTTTAAGACTTCATAATAAGCCCGTGCTATTTTGGCCCGACTTGGCAACTTGTCATTATGCCAGAAATGTTACAGATTGGCTAAAAAGAAGACAAACTGAATTTATAGAAAAAAATGAGAATCCTCCCAATTGTCCCCATTTGCGCCCCATTGAAAGATACTGGTCCAGAATGAAGCAGAAATTATTAAAACATAAAAAAAATGCTAAATCAGTTTCTGATTTTAAACGAAAGTGGAAAGAAACATCAAAACTCTTAAGTGATGATGATGTACAACGCTTAATGGAGGGAGTGAAAAGAAAAGTGCGTAATTTCTGGATGAATCATAGTTAATGTTAATATGTTGATTGTTACATGTTCTTTAGTTATTTTTGAACACAACTAACCAATAAAATTTTTAGAATCTCTTTTCTTAAAAATTTGGCGCAAAATTAATACGCGACAATTTTTTCTGGGACAAGCCTTATATTCCTTTATTAAATCTCTTCCACTTTTATTAAATAAAGCTACAAAAACTGCGTTCATATAATTGAAAATAAGAAGACATAAGCCGTTTCGGTTAAAGAAAAAATGAATTGTTGGGGGCAAATAAAAAATGAATTTAATTCAGTAACTACAGATGGGCCTAGGGATGCTCAGTCGCTCAAGACTTTTTATCAAAATGCGAAGAGAGTTTAAAAAAGCAACGGGCTGAAAAGAATGTAAATTACAAATTTAATGTACAATATTTTAGTACTTATAACATAATTAATAGTTTTTAGAAAAAAACATATATTTGTATTCTCGAAAATAAACTTGATAACAGAGGTGAAGGAGCCGCCGAGGACGTAGGTGAAGCAGAGATGAAAATTGAAGAAGTTTTACAGTGTCCGGAAACAATAGAAAAAGTATGGGTTACCATATTGTATATGTATATAGAGTATAAATGACACTTGAAATATTACAGATAAAGACAAAAAAAAAAAAACAGGAGGTGGAATTTACAGCCCAATTTTACCAACAGAAGCTGACGCAATTTTGGGAGAGTTGTTGGTGGGTCAGCTCCAGTCTTTAGAAAATAGTTTTGATGATGGGGCACAATATTTTAGTTTGTATACTGGGACAAATGGTCATGCATCTTTTTGATATGATCTTTTATAAAATTGAGATTGATTTTCAAAAAAATTTTTGGTTTTACAACAGATTTTTTTCCAGGAAATGTTAACAACAGCGAATCCCAAAATCCTAACTCCTCCATTCCAATCCGTTGAAAGAAAATCCCAGTATCAAAGAAAAGCGATTCAAGTATAAAAAAGAAAATTGATGAAAGAAAATTATTTTTCGTAAATTTAGAAATTCGGCATAAGCAAAGACTTTTCCAGAAGGAAAAAAAATAAAATTTGGGAATTAGGAAGGCAGAATTAGAAAAACTTATTAAAAATAATTAATTATAATTAATCAATAGATAGGTTGTTTTTGGTTTTAATTTTAGTTTAAATATAAATTTATTAATACTTTTTAAACTTCTTCATTAAACTTTAAAAAAATACCGTATTTACAAGATTAGTTTCCATCGTAAATTTGTTTTCCAGGTCACCATGATGTTCTCATCTTCATCAAATTCAGATCATCATATTGGTTACTATCGACAATGTTAGAAATCTCCAGTTTAAAACTCAGTACCACCTTTCAATTGTGTTTCTGATAACTTTGTGATGTTTCCTCAGTTCGATTTCTAGAGTTAATGAAAGATGTGAGAATGTATCTCTTGCAAGTGTAACAACTATCTCCAAGAAGAAAGATATCCAGTGTCGTACATATCCCGTTTTAATTCATCATGGATAGATCCTGGCCAGCGAACAATCATGTGGCGAAATATTTGCGTCACATCTTGAGATTATGTTAAATATTTGTAATCGTTAATGGTGGAAGTTAGAGTTTGTTGTTGTTCTTGGGCTACCGTTCCTCTGAAAATTGTTCACGATGGATAGCACCAAAGTTATGAAAAAGTCTAAAAATTTCACAGACCATCAAAAAACTCAGTAAAAAATAATTCTGAGCCAAGTTTTTAGATACATTTAAAAACACATAAGTTACTATTAAAAGTGGTTAGACCGCGTTATCAAAGCATAAATTTCACTTTTATCAACGGAAAATCTTTTCTCCCGTACCTGCCTGTTCTTATGCGGTTTCTTCTTTTGTAAATATGCCCATTTATTAGAAAACAGATGTAAATTCTGTACAAGAAAAGAATGTTGCTGAGAGACCATGTAAGAAGAATTCAATGTTACCACCATTGAGAGGCCTACGCATGTTCAGACTATCAAAATTTGACACGAAATTTAAAAAAGGAAAGGGCTGAAGCCCTTATTGTCCCACGTTTGGAATAGGAGCTGAATCAGTGTCGGATGATGCAGCACAATACTTCGGTTTGTATACTGGAACAAATCGCCATGCATGCATCATCTTATACGAGTAATAAATCTGACCTCTCATATCGAGATTTATTTCCAATAACTTAACTTGTTTTTAACGATATTTTTTTCCCAGGAAATCTTGAACCTCATAGCACTGCCTCCTCCATTTCGAAGGAGAAAAATAAAATCCCCCTTTCCACGAAAAACAATTTTTAGTGAATTTGCAAAATAAACTTTCAAAAAGACTTACAATTAAATTATTTGCAGATAAAAAAAATAGAAATCGAATTGGAAAATTCTAATTCAATAATTGGAAATTGAAAAGTGTTTTTTTTTAGTTTTATAATAGTTATTAATAAACGTTTTTGTTAAACTCTTTCTGAAAATATAGTATTAGAAGCTCACAGCAAAATTTCCTTCTACGTGTTCCCCACCTATGACTCCATCGTCTTCCTCAATTTCGAGGTGATCTTCTGGCCAGTCATCTTTAAAAATAATTGCCTGGTTATGCAAAATTGCACAGGCGACGATTGTCATCATAGTGGTTTTCATTTTTAGTCGCAATCCCATAGACAAAACTGGAAAGCGACGTTTCAGATCTCCAAAGCACCTTTCAACTGTATTTCTGGTTCCTTTGTGTGAAGCATTATATGCTTCCTCAGCCCTGTTTCTTGGATTAATAAATGGCGTCAAAAGATATTTTTTGCATGCGTAGGCCCTATCTCCAAGAGGGTATCCAGCGCCATACATTCTTCGTTCTAATTCAGCAAGTAACGGACAGTCATTAAAAACGGTGGAATCGTGGACAGATCCTGGCCAGCGAGCTATGATTTGTCTTATTTGAAGGCCTGTGTCACAAATTACTTGGACATTGAGAGAAAAAATCGTTTTCGGCATCTATAAGTTTCAGCCAACTGTCCACCTGGCCATTGGATTGGTATATGAGTACCACCTATTGCTCCTATCACACACGGAAAACCCCGGATTTCGAAGAATTTTCGGTGTATTGTTGGTATTTCTTGCACGGTAGGCATTTTCAGCATGTCATCCTTCAATCGCAGTATTTCATTGAAGACCTTGTAGATTATTCTTGAAATTGTTAATTTCTATACCAAAACAGAATCCCCAATTAATTGTTGAAATGCTCCTGTTGCATAGAATCTGAGACAAATCAGGAGTTGTTCTCTACTGCTTAGAGCCCTGTTAAGGTTTGTCACAGGATCTAAGCGGTCTCCAATCTGATTTAAAATTTCCACTAGGCTATTTTTTGAAAACCGATCCCTTTGCTTAAAGTCGATATCGTCGTATCTATCGAAAGGATCGGATCTGTCTCGAAAAACTCGGGGTCTTCTAGGAACAGGAACATCGGAATCATCAGAGAACCTGGAGGACGTTAACATTAAGGACACAGACATTTTGAGGTAAACTACAATTTACAGGTGTTACAGCAAAAAGAATATTTCACGTATATTTAAAATTACCTGAATAAAATTTAATTGAATATTTTTTCTATTTTATTTTCGGAGTCGAATTCATGTAAAACTGCCAGCTGTCAAACTTTAATTACTGCTTTACGGATAATTAACCAATGGTCAATCAAAATGCGTTTTGATGCTAATCAAGTCCTTGATTGGCGTTTATGCAACGGATGATTGGTAATTTCCGTATTTGACTGTCATCAAAACATTTGATGCACATCAACTGATTGGCGTTTGAGCAACGCATTATATGACTTGATGATTGTTAACTGGATTTAACCATAATCAAATTTTTGATTTGGGTTTATGCAACCGGCCCTAAATAGCAGTTAAATGTAAATACAGTAGCCTAATAAAGGTAGGTAAAAATGAATGTGTTTCAATAATAATAAAAAAAAACCAAATTGTATGTTAGACCTCAAAAGTAGAACACTCTGTATAGTTGAAAATAACAAAAAACACTTAACTTTGGCCTTTAACTGCTTATTCTATCTCTAGCATAATTATTGACACATCGATGACGGTGCGCTTAATGACTGACTAGAGGCTAAATTTATATGCTTTTGCATATATTTCTGCGAACTCATTTTAAATGTCTTAAATTATATTTCAGAATAGCATAGTTTTTATTCTGGCTATAAATGCATATTTCAAAATAAATGCATATTTTTACAATTTCAACACATTTACACAACTCATTGTAACTTTCGTTGCTTATTGGAGTGCCATTAACCTCACGGATTATTGCTAAATATACCAAAATTCCAAAAAGAAATTATTTTTCGGGGAAATTTGGTGGACTTTCGATTTTCGGTAAAAGCAGTTGTGTCAGCATTGATATTTCCGTTGTATTTCTCGAAAGCGGAACAGGAATAAAAGGAGCATTAAGTTATAAATTCTTTTGCAATGATCTAGTAAAAGCGGCTCGTTTGACACAAACACCCAAGCATTCGTTCCAGAGTTCGTCCTTTAGAACGGAAGAACTCGCCCTTGCTGTCAACACCGCCGCACTAATAATCCTGCATCATAAAACCGTTCATGATTACTTCCCTTATAGTAAGAATAGTTTATGAGTCTAGCCTGTCCGGTCGGACAGGTCGGACTCATAAACTATTCTTACTATAAGGGAAGTAACCATGATTATTATTAGTGCGGCGAAAAATACGACCGACTGTTTTCAGTTTTAGCACTAATACTTTACGAATGATTAGATTTTGCCTTTATTTAATTTTTGTTACACTAGTGATGGAAGTAATGCTATACTGTTAGTAATAGTCAATGGTGAGGTTAAAATACTGCATTTTATTTTAGTTACATAAAAACCTCTATTACAATAAAAAACCGGTATTATATTATAAGACAAAAAATAATACCAAAAAATCAGAGCATATGAATAAAACTATTCTAAATGCTATACCGCTGTTTCATATTATCAACTGTATGTACGTAGCTACATTTAATATAGCTTTTGTGATTAGAATCTAACATCTTAATCTCGAACCTCGAATAGACGAATAGTTCTGTCTCTCGAACTGGACAAGTATTCCCGAACGAGCTTTATATATTTTGCATATACAGAAACCTCGATTAGTCGAAGTTTTCTATATTTCGAAGAATTTTTCATCACCGACAACAAATTTAATTACAATTCGAACTTTTCTCAACATTGTCACATTCTGTAAACTGATACGTCTCCTAGTGGCGAAATTGTTTAATGAAATGTCAGCCAATATTTTGTACTGTTTATCAGTAGACGATTTTCTCAAGTTGTATTGAGTTCAATTCTTGCGTTCACGATACAAAATGGAATTTAACTATCAGCGAAAAATTTCGTTTGATTCAGAAAGTTGAGAAAGGTGTGAAGAAAAAAAAGACATTGCACGAGATTTCGGCATTCCAGCGAATACTCTATCGACAATTTGGAAACGTGATGGATCTATTAAAAAGGCTGCGAAGGAAATATTTTAAAAACTGCCACTCAGGAAAATAGTGATGATGAAGCAAGCGGTGTTAGTGATGATGAAGCGATACCTATTCCTGATATGAAAGCAGTGCATGAAGCTGTTGATAAAATTGGTGTTTTTCTAAATTCTTAAGAATATGTGCCGACCGAACTATTTGCAGCCTTTCGAGAGATCGATAACTATAGCGAAAAAATTCAGCCGACCATCCAAAAGCAGCAAAGTATATTAGATTATTTTAAAAAATTATAAAACATACACCTTTTCTCTACATTTACTTAAAACTTTCCAATTACCTAATATAATAATTATTCACAGCCTTTTAAAAAAATTGCAACATTTAGAAAATGTTTCTTGTTTAATGACTTATATGCACCCATCGAAGCACCATGGTAAACAATGCACGCTTTGGAATATTTTTCTGGTTTTTCTTGGCAAAGAAGTTACAATTTTTATCATTTTTTTTTAACAAACTTTACATTTTATTTCTATGGTTGTCTGTCAGTTGTATCACTTTATGCAATAAAATGCCGTTGGTGCGAAGAAATGTTTAATTTGAACAAATCGGCGCCTTTGACAGAGGCAGAATTGTGGGAATACGAGAGCTGGTTTGTCGTACCGTGAATTAGTGATGCCCATTCTCGATTCGATTCTTCGATATTCGATTATATTTTTAACAAAATGATCGATTATGAATCGATTATTTGATCTGCACGATTTTCTGGGGATCGATTTTTTTTGAGTGAAAATCGATGCTTTTTTAAATTGTGGAAAGAAATCATTTTTTTACTCAAACCACAGCTCAAACAATCATCTTAGTAACTTTTGCAATTTTAGAATTAACGGTTGGTATCTACTGCGATTACGAACATTTTTCTGAACTTGAACGTTAACGTTAAAACGTTTGATTTGATCGAATTACCACCCCTAATTTCGATGTACATAAAGGTGAGAATGGCAAAATGTGCCAATGTACGCGCCAAATAGTTTCTAGCATTTTCTACTTATATTTATTTCTAGTGGGAGTTCGTTGTCTTTGTTTGATGTATTTGTAGGGCAAAGCACATCTTTGTTTAAGTCGTGGTGTGAATAGGACAAAAAAGTAAAAACCGAAGAATTGCGATGTACATGTACATGTAGTCAATAGTCATCTGCATTCTGCATGTAAGGCGGTAGGGTAATCCGGTGATTATACATCATAGTTTAGAAGTGATTTAGAATACTGGTTCTACGTTAATGTAAATATGTGGTGAATATTGTGCTTTGGATGGATATGTAGGTTTGTAATTTGGTTATAAAAGTTGTTCGGCATTTTGTTTACTTTTAGATTAGAAATGTCAGAGTCGCACATTGACGTAAAATGCTATTTCACGAAATTTACTGCAATTTCATCAAGGTGCAAAATATGTAGCAATGTTTACAAGCATCATAACAATACTACAAATTTACGAAACCACCTGAAACGTAAACATTCAGAATTTTTAAATATGGGATTGGCACAAAACAAGAGTCAAAAACGTCTAAAAGTGATAAATAACAAAGGTTCAAAAGAGGATCAAGATCAGACCCAGACTACTACATCGTCACTACAGAATGATGTTTCTACATCATCACTACACAATGATGTCGAAAAGAGCGGTAAGTTGGTTAATGCAGAGAAATACCTAATTACATATTCCATTAAACTTTTAGAGACAAATTTATCAGAAGCAACAACAGTAACTCTCTGTGATCTTACTGATCTTAGTGAAATAGATGCATTGCCCAGTTTCGAAAAATCTACTCTTAAGTTCAAACAAAATGACATAGTATCAGCTTTCGATGAAATAAATTCATTTTCAGGTAAGTTCCAATTACTGAAAAATATTTTTTTGTATGAAATGCTTTCTGCTAGGTGGAAGAATGAATGCTAAAATAACCAATGCTTTGATTTATATGATCACAGTTGATCACCTTCCCTTATCTTTCACAGAACGTAAAGGATTTCAATATTTCAAAAAGGTCGCTTTACCACTATATAAGGCTCCAGGGCGTTCTACAATTACAAGACAAGTTGATGAAAAATATACAGTTTTAAGTTCCAAAATTAAAGACAAATTCAAGTTGGTGGATAATTTTTGTCTAACAACTGACGCATGGACTGATAGTTTGAATAATCGAAGTTTTTTGGGACTAACTGTTCATTATCTTCAAGAAACAGAACTAAAATCAATTACACTAGGAGTATTTTTATTAGAAAACAAGCATACATACGATTATATTGGAACTACTTTACTACATTGTTGTCACGAATGGAATATTTCTAAAGATAGAATAACAGCAGTTATTACTAGAGAGCGGATTTCTGTCGGGCTAGACAAGGCCAAACTCGGTACGGCTCGTACGGTTTTGAGAATTTATTGCAGTTACCGGCTGCACTTCGTTTATTTGAGATTAGAATAACGCTGCTTCGTTGCACTCTGCTGTTAATTCCAGTTCTCATTTACTTAGCCGTTTGATTAATAAATCGTTAATTGTATTTATGGAATCAAGTGACAATTAAATTCAGTGATTACCTATCACCCGCTACTGAGTCCCGGCGATGCAGCGCGTCCCCACCTATATCGTGACGTAGCCCGACAGAAATCCGCTGTCTAGTTATTACAGACAATGCAGGAAATATGGTGAAAGCTGTGCATGAATTTTTTGGTAGTAAGAAACATTTACCATGTTTTGCGCATACTACCAATTTAATTGTTACCAACAGTTTGAAAGATGTCAATAATATTATTTCTTCAGTGAAGGCTATTGTTACGTTTTTTAAAACAAGTCATGATGCGGCCCAAAAACTTCGAACATATCAAATACAGAATGGGAAAACAGAAGGTTCTTGTCTGAAACTTATTCAAGATATAAGTACTAGGTGGAATTCGACATACTACATGTTGAAACGATTTTTGGAGCTTGCACCATTGATTAGCATTATCCTTTTTGACAATCAAAATATTAAAATGATTGATCAAGAAAACATTGCAATTTTGAAAGAGTTGATATTGGTTTTAGCTCCCTTTGAAGCCATGACTGTCGAAATGTCAGGACAAAATTATGTCACTTCAAGTAAGGTTATACCAATAGTACACTGTCTAAAGCTTACTTTAGATAAAGTAGAAGTTAGCACTAACGTTGTCAAACAAATTTTGAATAAGTTAAAAGAGGAGGTAGCGAGAAGGTTTTATTCGGATAATTCCAGCGTGGAAAAAAATAATTTGCTGTCAGTTTCTACTATACTCGACCCAAGATTTAAACGCATACACTTTGAAAATCCATTAGCAGATACAGCAGCAGTTGCAAGAATAAAAGTTTTAATTGATGAACACAAAAAAAATGACTCAGTGTCAGTGTCACCACGAAATTATGACAAAAACCAAGAAAAACTTACTGACATGACCAGTACTGGATTAAATTTATGGGCGGTTCATGACAAATTATCCATTAAACAAAATGAAGGAGTTTGTAACAATTCAGGTATACCTTCTGAATTAAAAAACTATTTAAACCAAACCTTAAGTTCAAGAACAGAAGATCCTATCAAGTTTTGGACTTCGGTCAAACATGTATATCCATATTTATCAAAAATTGCTTTGAAACACTTAAGTATTTTAGCCACATCAGTGCCGTCTGAAAGACTTTTCAGCAAAGCGGGTATTAATTTAAGTGAACTGAGAAATAGACTTGCAAGTAAAAGACTCTCCGCTCTTCTTTTTTTAGGATCTCTAGAGGAAGACGAGTGGCATTTAAATAATTGAAACGTGCAAGCTCTAAGTTGAAAATCATTTGTTACTTAATTCTATACAAAATTATTATAGAATATAAAATTTATTTTTGTTATGTTTAAGAATATAAAATTTATTTTTGTTCATGTTTAAGAATATAAAATTTATTTTTGTTATGTTTAGTATAGGAAATTTACTTTTTATTTTTTGCTAAATAAATATTATAAAAGCAACTAATCAGGTGGTATTTTTTTAAAAGAAACTTCATATTAAAATATGAAGTTCGTTAAACACGTCAATATTATAAAACAAATTTTAAAAAATCGATTTTTACGAATCGATCTTTTTTTCTCAGAAAAATCGATTGTTAAGAATCGCCCGAAACAAAAAAAATTGATTCTTAGAATCGATCTTCTGCTGGCATTGTGGGCATCACTACCGTGAATTTGTAAGAAGAATCGGTCGAAATGATTCGATGATTTTACGAATATGCAGGGTGTGGTAAATGATGGGCTCAGAGCACGTCGTAGGTGCAGTGGGCGCCGAAGAGTAACTGGTAAACGTATTTTCACTGCTACTCTGTTGCAATTTTTTTGAAAGGCAGTGTATATAATTCATTTATAATTATAATTAAACTAGCCGACCCCGTGAACTTTGTTTCACCTACAATTTAATTTTGAATCTGCAAAACCGAATGCTTTGAAATCTTGCAGATGATTTAACCATATGATAAGCATAATACATTTTTAATATTATTATTTTAGAACAAATTTCATTACCATAAAAATGGTTACTGTTAGAGGGGAACAATTTCGTCATACATGATTTTTAAGTAACTTTAACCGTTTCAGCAGCGTAAGCAACGGAAACTGTTAAAGGAGGAATAATTTTGCCGTTTTTCCGAATTTTTCATTGCTACTTCGCTCCTAATGATCGTAGCGTGATGTTATATAGCCTACATACGATACATGGACTATCCAACACAAAAAGATTTTTTGAATTCGAACCAGTACTTTCTGAGATTAGTGTGTTCAATTAAACAAAAGCTTCAGCTTTATTATATAAGTATAGAAGTATAGATTTGCAAAGAGAATATAGAAGTTCAAGTTTTGTTTCGTCTTTTTTTTAATTTCCAAAATAAATTTGTATTTAATTAGATCCAGTGACCTGTGACTAGTTTACGTCAAATAACAAAGTCTAATAAATATACAACAATTGATTCACAATTATTATAAGATTAAAAAAGAAATATTACAAAGTGTTTTATATAATTTTTGCAGTTTGTAAGTATTTTTTACTTTAAATTTTTCAGTCTAATCAAAGTACAATTTGTTTTATGTGTAAATAGTTTGTCGTTTCTTGGCAATATTTGAGCCGAGGTCTGTTGATGAAGATGATATTGAAATGCAATGTACGCCGCCTGAAGTAGTCTGCTTCAGCTGCTATAGGTGACTTGGTACCTACAAAGTCAAAAAAAATGTATGTAGCTGCTTACCAAAAATTTGTGACTTGGTGTAACAGGAAAAACATAACTGTGTATTTAGAGAACGTTTTATTGGCCTATTTTCTGGAAATGAGGAAATTAGAAATTAAAAGTTCCACAATGTGGTCACATTATTCCATGATAAAGTTATTACTGAATATTAAAAATGGTGTTGACATCAATAAATTTCAAAAACTTCGAGCCTATCTAAAAAAACAAGGCGAGGGATACAGTGCCAAAAAGTCCAGGAATTCGACAGTTTCTTGAGATAAGCTGATGATTTCAAATATTTAGCCATGAAAGTTGTTTTAATCATCGGAATTGCGAGAGCTTGTCGCTGCGACGAAATGGTTAAAATGACTGTTGATGACTGCGAAGAATACTTATAAATTAAAACAAATTGCTATAGCATTACACAAGGTTCAAAAAAATGACTGTACTATTAGCGAAGCCACCGAAGTTTGGATCATCCTCAAGTCTGAACTGGAAGAAAATTGCAGTCTTGAAGAGGTCAGACACCTAGAGGGAAGATTTGATTTGGCTCTGTTCGCAGTACACTTTTTATAATTTACTCGATCAGCGATTTATGGGCTAAAGATTGACTGAAGAACAAAGAAATAAAGCCCTACAGTATGTCGGTAAGTACCATCCCAACTGTATGTCAGATGTAATTAATGAGGCAAAAATGTCACCTTTCGGAGCATATTTGTTTTCACATCAAACCAAAGAAAATGTTATACCGGTTGCTTGGTGGAGTGCATTAAAAGGTAGAATAAACGAAGAAACAATAGACTTAACCAACCAGTTACATACAGCTATAGCTTCTTCTGCAGGCATTGAGCGAATTTTCTCCACGTTTGGAATGGTTTATTAAAAAATTAGAAACCGCTTGGGGGTGGTAGAAAAAGCTTCCAAACTTGTAAATATTTTCAAAGCATTAAATTAACAAAATGTACATGTTTTTGATTCTTTTAAAACTTAAAGCATATTCTAAACATGTTTTAAACAGTTCTAGAACAACGAATGTTTTATTTCACGTTTTGTTTTTAACAGTTTAAAACCCATTATTTAAAACTATTTGTTTAAAACCTACAGCAGAATGGTGGTAATTTCGAACACTTGGTGTAAAATAAATTGTATTTCTTTGCATTTTTTTTAATTAACTTTTATGGAAACGTTAAAGGTGCGAAGGTTCAATAACGTAAAACCGTTGTCTTGTGTCTACTTGTGACATCCACAATATGAGATTGCCAATTTTGTCAAACGGAAAATGGCCAACTGGAGAGAAGAAATCTAAACAACAAAGAGAAAAATTAAATAGAGACTGAGTCAAGTTTATCCTTCCAGTGATCGAGTTTTCCTCGATACCAGACCTACATAATTATCAATCACTTTTCGAGGGTATTTTGTAGTTACGCAACCAACGATTGTAATTTCTTCCAATAATTATTTTGGAAAGAGACATTTTTTAATTTGCATGGAAAATCCATAAGCGACTAGATGAAAATCATTCTGAAACACCTGTATAAAAAATTTAATTTTATGAAAAATAAATACTTTGGGATCAATTGACTATGCGACAAATATACGTGGAACCAATTTTCCCGACATAAATGACAGGCAAATTATTATTTATATGAACATTCAACCTTTGATAAAAACCAACATTTAAAATTTCCGTGTCAAAACACCCCAACAAAATAGCTGAAGGTCACCAAAATTGAGCAGCAAAGATCAAAGGCACCGACACTTTAAAACTGTTTTACTACTTGGAAAGGCGGATACACAAAGACCCTCAATTGTTCAAAGAATACTCGGAATTTATGGATACGTATTTGTTTCTTCAACACATGTCAGAAATTTCAAAAACAGACAATTCAGGTTATTTTTAAAGCCATCACCAATTTATTACGAATTTTCTCCCACGACTAAACTGCGAGTAGTTTTCAACACGTCTTTAAAAACCAACAACAATAAGTCAATAAATGACACTTAACAGGTCCCCAACTTGCAGCAGGACCTTTTCAGAGTTCTGTTACGCTTTAGAACTCATAAAATAGGAATTACGGGCGACGTGCAAAAAATGTGCCGCCAAATATTGTTACATGATGATTGATGAGGATGACCAACAAATATATATTTGGCGTCACAATACTAATGAACCGGTCAAAGTGTATCAATTAAATACCGTTAATTATGGGTTTGCTAGCTCGTCTTTTCTTGCCACAAGATGTTTAATAGAACTCGCCAATCATTCAAAATTTCAATATCCCGGAGCCTCCAATGTACTCGTAATTTATAACGATTTTTAAGTCGATCTTATTACCGGGGCTGATACCATCGAACAAGCCGCACAGTTATTAACTGACGTAAATTCCATTTTAAAATCGGGTGGTTTTCAACTTCACAAAATAAATTCCAACTGCTCCAGGTTAGTGAATAATCTTCAGGTAAAAATGCAAAGTAACCTGTCCTTGGATAAACACGGGGACGGTAGAATATTATTCTACCCTCCGGATAAACAGCAACCCACAAAGACATTAGGTGTCTTTTGGCATAATGATACCGACACAATTACATTTTCTACAAATATAAAATTTCGTTCCCAACACATTAAGTAGCATAAACATTTTTATAAAGCGTCCATACTTTATTGTCATAAATAAGCCTCGTGCTCAGTTCGTTTAAAATCTATTAGAAATTGTTGAACGTTTACAGCTACTACATAATTTTAGATATTTATGATTTGTAATACTTTTTCATCAAGATCTATATTGTTATTTAATTAATCTACTACAAACTGACCTCAATTTACATCTCTAAAATTTTATGTTTTTTACAGATGCCTAGAACATGTGCAGTGCCATGGTTGTAATTCTACTCTTAAATCAAAAGTGTCTTTCTTCAAACCTCGTAAGTTACTTGAAAGAAGTAAAGTTTGGGAAGAAGCTTTGGTATTTACTCTCGGAAATACTAAATTTATTTTTGAATTATTACATTTTAAAAAGGAGGAGGTCATAAGGCAGAAACATTTTTACCGCGAAGATCAAAGCATTTTCGCGTTGGTGTGTATTACTATTGGAAAAAGAGATAGAAATTATGAAATTACGGTTCTGTTATATCAGGACATTTTTTTAACTCTGAACATATCCCATGCTTAGTTCCTATGTTCATAAAAAAAACAGATGAGCACATTGTAAGTATGTAACCTGCTTGATTTAAGAAAGAAAAATAAAGAGAATTTTTGTAGATAAGAATAATTATCTATATATAACTTTAATTCATAACTTTCTGAGGTAACCAGCGTCGGTCTGGCCCGCCGGCTATCCGGCCATAAAAAATTGGTCAAAGTCTATTTCGATAGAACTTCTCTCGCCCTTGAATTATAATCCCACAAATCCAGTTGTTTTAAAAAATTATTTTCGTTTTGTGATGTAGAAGTAACACGCCCAGAGCCGTACTGACAATGTAATAGTATATTGTTCAACGAGTGAGAAAGTTGGGCATTCCACACGAGGATGAGAGTTTCCGGAACGAGCCAAAGGCGAGT